AGGAAAGGGTAGTAAAAATGTGATAGGATCAATGGATTGAAAATCTAGGCCAAGAAATTGTTGGAATTGGAGTTTATAGGGAGTGAACTAGGAGGAACGATGTGTTGATTGGAGATTATGGAGGGTTTGCTATCATGGATGGCGATATGTACTGTGGGAGTCCTTGAGTGAGGTAGAGTAGGAGAAAATAACTTTGAAGATAGAGATCAAAGAATTGAGAGCCAGGGTACTGGAAAGATCATCTGTGTATATTGTCATTTCTCAGAGTTATTTTGGGAGACATATTGATAAGAGTCATACTAGGCCAAGAATAAAAATCTTCAGAGAAATGGGTAAGTGTCCCCAGGGAGCAGAAGGTGACTACCACAAGGAGAGGCAATAGGAAGTATGATTGATAATGTGAGATTCAAATCCGTGGATCTTTAAGGAGAAGGGAGAGAAAATGGTCTTGAAGCAGCAATGAGGGCAAGAAATCCACTATTTCATATCAGTACTTATGGTTGTGGGAGACAAATGGCCGTCACCTGAGTGTGCCGCAGGGAAAGTTGGGTTCGGGGGCATCCCAGGTTTTAGTTAGAGGAAGAAGGTGAGGGGATATAAAAGACTTGATTGACTTCAAGTAAAAGGCAGCGTAGTGAAGGTGTTTCAAGAGCGGGGGAGTAGTGGGAGATTGTCACAAAGGTAACTTTTGTTCCCCTACCCATATGAGGTTCAGATTGTGAGGGGTGAGAGACAATCTAGAAATTGTGGACTTTTTGAGGTAACTGATAAGAGCAGGGTTAAAGACTGCAGTGATATTTAGTCTGATGGACCCAACTGTGAATGATGACAGGCTGGAAAGGCGTGTGTACAGGATATGGGGATAGAGGCATGTTGCTAATATGGAGAGTTTGGGCTCCCTCTAGACTCCTGATGGTGGAAGAATTCTGAGGCGGAGCCTTTTATTCCTAACACTTCAGTGCCTCTCCAACCTGCACGTGGCAGCCTGCTGCAACATGGTAGTGCTGTCTTTAACCAGTACATGATATTCTATTGTGTGGAGGTACCATAACTGATGTATGTCTGTGAGATGAAGTACGCTATTGTAGAAATTTTCTTCCTTTAAAACCCTAATTTCATCATAGAGTCTAATCTCTTTAAGCAACTCTTGCCCAATTTATTAATTACCAACTATCAACTATTTTTAGATGGTCTTAAATAAGTGAAGTTACAACTAGGCATAAATATAATAACGTGGCAAAACTGGCAATTTGATAATATTACAACTTATTTTACCACTATTAGGAAAAGATCTGAGTGATTTATTAATGCTTTTGAAAAAAAATTAAGGCAATTAGAAAATCCTGGCATATTTAATTGGTTTCTTTTTAGTTAGAAAAGTTATGATAGCTAAAAGTAACCTCACTAACAACATCACACAGAGTTTATTTATTTTCTGAGTGTTCTCACCGCTGAGCCATAGCCTGTAGAGCACAGGGTGAGGAGAGAGAGAGATGCCCAGGCTGGGTGCACAGTCTGAAGAATCTTGGTTTGTTTCTTGGCTCAAAAGCAGAGGCAGAAAGAAAAGGAAACTTATTCCTGACCTGAAAGAGATTTTGAAATCAAGTTCACAGGCAGCAAATAACAATGACAGTGGCTTTCTCATCCACTGAAAGAACTTAACACCTTAAACACTTTTCAGGGAACAGTAACAACATGTGATCTTTAACTAAGCTGACGATTCCTAGAAGCTCTTAGCTACAGAAAAGGAAATATACTTCTGTGCTGAATCAAGAGAAACAAATTAGATATGCCAGGATTTTCTAAGTATCTGCCTTACTTTTTTTTTTAGAAAGCAAAAGAAAG